GAGCGTCGTCGCCAGAAAACTCGACACAAGATACGTAAACGGATTAACACGATACATGAACATCCAGAAGCCCGGGAGGTCATCCTTGGAGGCCAGAATGCCGCAGAAAGCGTACATCATAATCGTCAGCAGTGTCGCATAGGCTCCTGCGATTTCTTCGCTGGGGGTCCCCGCAATCAGCAAGTGTGCGAGTGTGCTTGCGAAGAGGAAGACGACGATGATGATGAGTAAGGTGTGGAAACTGCGGATGTGGACGGAATCCGTGGCTTGGGCGTTGCGATACAGGCCTGCGGGATAGTACCAGGCGAAGAAGCAAGCAATGCCCATGATGGCGTTCCAGAACATTTCGATGGCGATGTTGGACAGCACGAAGGCCTGCCAGGCGTAGGTTTTGGACTGGCGCTCGCGAGCTTCGTACAAGGTGCGTTGTAAGATCCACATGGGCAGGATTTGGTAGATGAGCTGGATGACGACGAAGAGGAAGATGAAGACGCCGAACATTTGGTTTTGCAGGCCTTGCATGGTGTTTGTGCCGTCGATGAAGGAGAAGCCGATCATGAGGGAGCAGCCGATGGTTAGGACGGCCTTGGAGTACATGTAAGAGGGAGTGCGCCAATATTGTTGAGCACAGCGGAGAGCGACGGCGCGGAACTGGTCGGCGAAGGAGGCAGCGAAGGCTTGGTGGCTGCCTTTTGCGGCATCCATGACGGCCGAGGGTTGGTTGACTAGTTGGCGTAACTTTTCCAGCTCCATTTGGACATGCTCGAACTCTGAGCTGCTTTTCCAGACAGAAGGCCAGTCGATCTCGGTTTTGGCTCCAGGCGCCGCACCAATTGCTTCGAGCATGTACTCGGCTGGGTTCGCGCCAGGAGGACATTTTGGTGCGCCGTTGCGTTGGAAGTAGTCGAGGAGTATGTTAGAGTCACGTCCAATGTCACCAAAGTACACTGTGCGTCCACCTTTGGCGAGCAGGAGGAGGCGATCGAATCGTTGGAAGAGAAGGGATGATGGCTGGTGTACAGTGCACAGAATCGCTTGGCCATCTCTAGTCAGCTTCTCCATAAGATTACAGATAGACCACGATGTCTGTGAGTCAAGACCAGATGTCGGCTCATCAAGGAAGAGGAGCAGTTTCGGACGGGCAGCGAGTTCAACACCAATGGTGAGGCGTTTGCGTTCTGATGCAGTCAGTATATATCTCGGTAATCCAAACAAAAAGAGCTATTGTACTTACGCTCTACATTGAGACCTGATCCCGGGACACCAACAACAGCATCCGCATACGGTTCCATATCCAAGAGCTGGATGACGTGGTCGACATATGCCAATCTCTCTTCACGACCATATTCCGGTGGTTGTCTCAGTAAAGCGGAAAACTCTAGAGCTTCTCGTACAGTCGATGTATCCAGATGAATATCTTGTTGCATGCAGTAGCCAGTTTGTCGCTGGAAGGACTCATCTCGCCGTCGGCCGTCTACGAAGATATCACCACCGATTACACCCATGGTGGTTCTGCTAGCCAGCACATCAAGTAGTGTAGTCTTGCCTGCACCAGATACGCCCTAAGTAGTTGTTAGCTAGATCCCGACCTTTTGTGAAGATAATACATACCATGAGAGCTGTCAGAGTGCCAGGCTTGATGTATCCATCGACATCATCAAGAATCTTGCGCGTTTCGCCCTTAATCTGTACTTCATAGGTAACCTTTTCCCAGTGAAAGATTGAGACCTGCTTCTGTACTTCCAGACTAGGGCTACCGCTGCTGCTAATCTTCTCACCTTCATGGGCAGTTGCACCACCCGCCTCTTCGTCTGTGCTCTGACGCTTGGCCATCTTCTTCATCTTGGATCGACGGAATACCAGAACCTCGCCCTTGGAGCGTTCAGAAGCAACCAGTTCGCTCATCACCAGGTGGATGACGAAGAGTACGAAAGTGATGACCACAAGTATACCATAGTTTCGCCACCGCTCGCTGAATTTGTATTGAAATGCAGTCTCGACGTATGCGGTACCACTGACAAAGTTCTCACCAGGCCGTGAACCTTGGACGGCGCATGCTCGCTGCTCCGGTGTAGCGTTCGCGTAGGATGGTCCGGATGGGATGAAGAAAGAACAACCAAACTCTCGACCGTTGAACTCATTGCTCATCACGCTCGAAAATCCATATGATACAGGGTTGATGTATCGCACCCAGCCTATCCACGACTTCATATAAGGAACAGGTAGGGGAAAGCCCGTGTAGAGAACCAGCATCAAAAGGATAAGGGAACTTGGTGCAAAGGCCTGTGCAAGAGTCTTGGTCATCGAAGCAAGCAGTCGGAAGAACATGCTCATGGACAGACCAGTAGTGAACCCGACGAGAAGAAAGAAGAAGAAGGAGCCAGCTTCTCGACGGAGGTTGGCCATGAAGTAGAGTGTGCTGGTGACGATGATGCAGTTTACAATCTTGTACGGAAGGTCCACGATCATTGAAGCTAGTGCTTCAGCGCTAGGATGATATAGCGCATAGCGGTTGTGCTGAGGAAATGATCAGTTCCCAGTGCTCGTGGATGAGTAGAATGACATAGCTTACCTTCTCAATGATCGTTCGTTTGGCGTAGAGATTCATAATCTCTAACATGCTACCAAAGGCGTTGAGTAGGACCTAGAGCAGTGAGCAAACCTCTTTATTCATCCATAAGAAGAGAGACGGACTTACGACCATGAATATGACTCCTCCTCGCTTGAAGAAAGACGCGGTGGTTTGGGACAAGTTGAAAAAGAGACTGGAAACGATGATTGCTTCAGTAAAGTTCACAGCGAGCATTGTCAACGAGACACTTGGGTCGTTCTTGATTCTCTGCACATCTCTCCACATACAGAGACGAACCTGCCTCCAGTAGGAAAGGGTATATGGAGAGTTCTGACGCTGCTTGCTGGACTTCTCCTTCGTCCTTGATAACGCAAAGAGATTACGCTGTTCGCCTTGGAGTGGGTAGATTTTGTCGAAGTCTTCGATCGCCCTCAACAATTGCTGTCTTTCGGGGCTCGTCTTCCAGCATTGCGCAAAGTCATCCGACGTTCGAGGCGTCTTGTTTTCGAAGCCTTCTCTGATACGGCGCTCAGAAGGAGATGTCATTGAAGTTAGAAAATCCGGGGTAGTCTGTGATGCAGGACATTCGAATCCAAGGCGCTCGAAATAAGCACGCGCTTCGCTTGCTGGGCCAAAATAGATCTGGCGACCCTCATATAAAACCGTCACCTTGTCAAAAAGCTACAAACAGTCAGTCCGGTTCTAGCGATGGTCAAGCGGGAATATGTACCTCGTAAGCAGCTTGTGGAGCTTGATAGATGGCAACACAAGTAGATGTGTCAAAGACGTCGCATTGTGTTCTGAGCGTCTTACAGAACTCTACTGCGTTCGCAGAATCCAATCCACGTGTAGAGTTATCCCACAACTGCAGAGGCGCAAAACTGAGAGAAGCTTCTGCGATCGTTACTCTCTTGCGTTCGCCACCACTAACACCTCGCACAAAGTCGTTACCAACGCGAGTGTTGACTGTATGCGAGATGCCATACATAGCCATGACAACCTTGAAAGCGTTAGTAGGGGGCTATCTATCTCTTTGGTAGGGGGACTTACATCGCGGAGATGCTCAACGTAGCGTTCCCTGCTGACGCCACCAGGAATCTGACGCGGGGCACGGGCAAGAGCAGCGAAATAGAGCGTATCGCCAACACTGAGCTGAGGAAAGTGGGCGTCAACCTCTGCTGTGTAGATGGCCTCTCCTCGAAAAGAAGTATTCATCTCTTTGGCTGGGATGCCCTGATAGTTGAGGTGTGACTCAGGGCTAACCTGGAAACCATGAGTCTCACCCGCGATAGTCTTGAGTAATGTAGAACATCCGGATCTGGAATGTATCAGCTGTGATCTCTCATGAGAGATAGAATCTTCAACCTACCCCGGTGGACCGAGAACACACAGTTGTTCTCCAGGTAGTAGCAACCCATCAAGGTCGCGCAAAATCTCAATCTTCTCTGTGCCCTTTCCAAACAGCGACGGCAGCTTGAGTATCATGTTGCCGACTGTGGACTGGAAGTCTGTAGGGGATCCCATGCCCCATACATTGAGATTTCTAAAGGCAACACCTGCAACGCGAGGAATCGCTTCTTCGCCACTGTAGCGCAAGTTGTAGAACGCTTGGGCCCAGTCCTTCGCACGAAACTGTTCACTCTTGGGATCTAGGCGTGGATGAACATCATGAGACAAAGGCGATCCCGTCGCACCCTGTTGCTCTGATTGTGAGGTGAATTTGCGGACGAGTTCATGAACTTCGCGGTCACGTTCTGTCTCAACGTGAGTGTCGGCAGCATGATGCTCGCCAGCCAGTGTGTTTTCGTCTTCGTTGATGGGTTTTGCTTCTATGAAGCCCGGTCCGCTCGGCATGTTTGGTGAAGAATCACAACACGGGTTGGCGCTGAGCAAAGGGGTGAAGCAATTGTTCGTGTAGCTGTCTCGAGGGCTCTTGCTGTTGACATGGATATCTCGATGGCGATATATAGTATATGAGCGTATAGCCGTGTTATTGAAACGGGAACATGTGGTCTGCTCTTGGCTATGGCTGTCGCAACAAAATCCGAAAGTCCATGATGCCAAGGACGGCCCACCATAGCTGGCTGGGATGGAATTGGCATCTGCATCATCTCGGTCTTCTGCGATCTCTCTAGCAGTAAGTAGATCAGATAGCCAGCGTCAGACATGCAACGGCAGTGGCTCCAAGAGGCTAGGCCCCCTGGCGGATAGTTGGACATTCGGACATTCGGATATTGCGGTGTCCGAAATTGCGACCATTGCCCAACTAGGCTGCCACCCCATTGTCCACCCCATCACCCTCGCAACAACGCTCTTTCCGAACCCGAAGAAAACCCAGGGTTGCCGGCAAATAGACACGCGCGCATACATTTCGACTCCCACGTCCGAAACCCGGCAACCTACCTGCGGTAACGGCCACTAGTAAGCTATGACGATGAAACTTGCCGTACGTGTGTACATGGGCCGCGACTACAAGTTGCAATACTTCACTAACGTCTTACCAAAGTGCCTTCGCTGCAAGCGCAAGAAAATAAAATGCGACAGAGCAGACCCTGTATGTCGTCAGTGTGTGACTGCTGCAGAGGAGTGTCAATATGTCGAGCGCCGCAAGAGACCTCGCGTTGCGCAGCAGAAAAATGTTATGGAGTACTTGAGTCAGCGGCTCGAACAACTTGAGAAGCATGTCAATACCTCGGGTGAACCGGATTCATCGCCTGGCTCTCTCCCAACACCGCAGCGGGAAGTGTTACAAAAAACACCACCTGTGTCGTCTCCCGAAGCCCCCTTGACTGTGGCAGATAGTCAGGAATCATGGGTAATAGAGTCCAACCACAACGCATCAATCACCCCCGTGACTGACGGTGATAGATATATCGACTTGCTACTGACACGCGCCGGAGCTTCCAAAACCAAGCTGCCCCGGTCAACACCCCAGGACCGAGCATCAACAATGCCATGTTGTCGCTCAACGATGCTCTTGACGATCTTGGAAGATTGAGAGTGCGTACCCAAGCTCGCCATGTCGATTTTGATCTCTCGCCTGCAGAATGCCGAGCATGTATAGATACTTTCGTCCATGTATCGCGTTCAATGGTTGTGCCCGATGTCTCTCTGGGTGCCATGGTCGACCTTACTGTTTTACGCTCGCTTCCAGATGTCATCAACTCTCCCTATGTCAAAATCGACCCTGGAATGCGTGTCTTGTAGTAAGTATCTCATCATACATGCGCTTCGTGAATCTCTTGTTAACTTCGTGTGCTTTGACAAAGTTACAATGCCCTGTATTACGGGCTACAGGATACTGATGGTCCGGGAGGTGAGCTGACGATGAAAGCATACATGAAAGTTCTTGAAAGTGTACCGCCATGGCTTGAGTCGTCAACTACGACGGACATGGATGGTTTCACAGCCGCCCTTCTCACTTGGACGTGCATCACCATGCACGACTATCCGCTTGCCTGGAAATTTCATTGCAAGGTGTGCCAGTACCTCATGTCCAATGGCATAGACCAGATCGACAGTGCACCAGCCAAAACGTATACCGATGAAGATGAAAGAGACAGCTATCGATACCTTTATTGGCATACCTTGTGTACTGATATTGCGTTTCGCTTGTTCTTCGGGAAACCAAAGGTCTTGACATGGGTGCCTAATAAAATTCGGCCGCCACTGATCTTTCGTGGCGACAATATGCACCCATCCGCTATAAGGGTCACAATCGGCGTCGTGTGGGTACGATACACGCTCTTGGCTGAGGAGTTTATCGGCTACGTCGACAAGCATGTGTCGAGTGGCCAGGGAGATGATCTTTTCAAGAAGGTCGATGAATGCTGCACACAACTCGAAAACCTCGTGGCTGAGTGGAAGCTTGAGCAGCTCATGAATGCCGAGGATACCCTTCTTGACTTACACTGCATGCTTGCTGACCATATCAGTACGTGGCAAGGTTGATTTTGCATTGGCCATGGACGCTGATAGAAGTCTAGTGAATATTTACACCTACATTATTGGGGTACAGAGGCTAGTTCAAGCAGCCGTACGTGGAAACTCCGCAACAGCAGTTAAACCGAGTCCATTTGCTGTTCGAGCAGCTCGTAAAGTGTCTAGTATCATCCTCGACTTCCACACTGACCCCCTTGTGAGATCAAGATCCAAGAGCATCACCAATCAGTAAGTTTAACAATCTCTACTATCCCTTTGCGGCTCGAATGCTTTGCATTCGCTGAATTGGCTGACTTTTCTGCAGTTTTATCACATTATACCCCTTCTGCGTAGTTTTCACCCTTTACGAACAGATACTTGCTACGTACAACCCCGATGACTGCGAGAGTGACATGCAGACACTGGAGAATATTGGCACAGCTATGAACGAGGCGTCCACGCAGCGACGAGATTTGGTACCATTTGTCAAAACCGTCGATGCACTGAATAGAGTATCGCGGACGTTGCAGGAAGAGAGACGCAAAGAAATGATCCCGACAGCGACAAACAACGCGAAGTACACCACTACTCCGGTGCTCAATTACCAGCCAACAAGCTTTGATACTGTCCAGAATCTGGTAGCTACTGAGCTGCCCGACTTCGACATGTCGTCCTTTAATATGCCTGGATATTCTGCGAGTGCTGAAGGCGACTTTCAATCCCTTGGATTGTTCAGAGCACTAGAAAATGAATTTGTTGCGCGAAATTGGCAAAGTAACTGGTGGGACCTTAATGGCGGCACGGACGAGGGCATGAATCAAACAACTGCAAGGTATGGGTAGGTTTTCCGACGCGACATGTCCAAAGACAGAGACTAAGGATGATCTAGCGGTTTACCCCAAGTGTCCAACATGGGCTATCCTCCAACGGTCCCCGAAAATATGATGTAGTTTTTTTCTAACCAACCAGTCTTTAATTACCTGGGGTTCAGGGTCACTACGTGTCACCTGATTCCGCAACGTCGACTGACGAGGATACAAATTCGCATGCCCAATAGTGTTTTGGCCATGGCTTGGCAAATCTGCAGGATGGCTACCTCCATGGTGTTTGTAGACGGTGCAGGGGCGTTATGTTTAGCTTCCAAGATCTCCAACTCGCTGCCCGTACATTTTCTTCTCATTCATTCGACTCCGTTGAGCTAAGACAGCAATGCGACATGAGGCTACAGTGCAGGCGACCTGCCGACGGTTGTTGCGGTAAGCAAGCCTCGCATGTCTGTCACACCACGTACTAGCGACATGCATTATCTCTACCAATGAAATCTTTAGCAGCGTTGAGTCCTTATCACGCGCATGCATATGCGCCGGACTGCCCTCTGCTTTACATGATCCAGCAAACTTTAACGACCCATTAACTAGACACGCAGTAACCGCAAACGCCGATCGCTTCAGACAACAAGCTGGAAGATCAGCACGGCTGAATCAACAATCTGAATTAGTATAATGCGTAAGAAACATAGGTCGTGCATGTGAGTGGTCAGAGACGCCGGTGGCTCTGGTGCACGAGATCTCAAAAGCAAAACAGAGCCAATCATTGATGACGGCGGTAGGAGCGCTACATGCGTACGCAATCTCCTAGCGTAGTCGGGGACTATGGCGCCATTTAGATCAAGGTTACACAGTGGCAGCTTCCCAGTGTCAGTTTTCGGGGCTTCCGCCGAGCAGAGATAAAAGAAAAAACAGGTCATAGTATACCACTCGGAGTTTTCGGTTAGCAAAGCGCGGTAGACGTGCATAGCGACAACGAAATTGTTGAAGAGGCATGTGTTGAGGCTGATATGATGCACTTGTGCAGCTCTATACGCATGCGTGTTTGTGCGCTTTGTCTTTTCGCAAGCCCTGCGAATTCTGTGGAGAAATACAGACCGCACATGTAAATTTCCGAGACATTTGAAAGCTGAGAAGGGTTCAGGGTGCGGATAACGCGTGCAATCCTCCTGATAGCGCGATGAGTATCTCGGTACATACACGTGATCTGAGATGGGGGACGTGCCTTCATTTCCGGTAATCACCAATCTCGTATTAGGAAATACATAGCTAATTTGTCAATCAAATATGAACTGTACACAGTTGAAGAAATTCGGAAGATTTAATATAAAGCATGTGCAATTTGAAAATGGCCCTGTGCAGGGAACAAGAAGCAAAGCTCATACCATGATATTCGGACATATGTTCTCTGCGTGTTTCCACAACTGCACCTTCCGACTAATTACCTCATTTGCGCAACAAAAAAACGTCCAAAATAAAGTCACAACAGCCACCGGGATGCCAGGGAGAAAACACATTTGGATTATCAAACGACGGCCAGCAAAATTAAAGATTGCTAGCTTATAATTTTAAAAAAGCCATAGTGTGTGTGAATAGACATTTGTAAACGTGCACCTACGTTTCAAAGTAAATATAACGTAGTTTACAAGCGAGTGACGCGTACAAGCGAGTGACGCACCCCACTAACTTTGCGTACCTCTAATACTATATAACTTAATAGCGTAATAATATATTATATAGAAATTAGTAATATAGATTAAGTACTAGCTAGAGTATCTTTCTTATATATATAAGTTATAGCTAGTCTCTCTATATCTACTATAGCGTGCTAGAGCCTAGTAGCTAATACCTAATTACTCTCCTCCTTAATACTCTTTATAAGTAAGCTACTAATTAGCCTTATACTAAGTAAGTAGATCTTCTCTAGTGTTACAAGTAACAAGAAGGATTCTCCCCTTAATAAATGACGAGATGGCTGAAGGCCTATAGACGTCTACGTTAGAAGGTAATTATTATAGGGCGAGAATCACGTAACTAGGCATCTCGCTAAGAGATAATATCTCGCTAAGAGAGTAGATGCTACGACACTAGGAGATACTAGGATATCTTAAATATCTTAAGATACTAGGGTATTTAGAAGATACTATAGATATTAGGACTAAAAGTAATAA